TGACAACTTTAAATATGGAGTGGTATGTGAATGAAGAATCAGTGATTATCACAGAGTGCGGAGGCCTGGTCACCCATTTTAGACAGTCTTATAAACTACTCATAATCTCTCTCTTCCCTGACAGAAAGTAAAGATCAACGGTTGGGATTTAATATGCCACAAGAAGCCCTGGTGGCACAATGGTTAGAGACTCAGATGCTAACCAAAAGATCGGTGGTTCAAACATACCAACCACTCCACAGAAGAAAGATGTGGCAGTCAGCTTTCTTAAAGATTTAAAGAAATCCTATGGGATTGTCCTACTCTGTCCTTACATAATCAACTCAAGAGCATCAAGTCTGGCGGTCTCACTCAATTTTTCAAGTTACCACCCTAACCTAGAAGGGCTCATCATCACACACCTGGGTCACTGCAAAGGCTAACTAACTAGCTGGCTTCCCTGATTTAAGACAAACTTCCTCTTCGTCTATTCTGTATTAGCTTCTGAGGAATCTTTCTTAGTGTCCAATGTGATTCCTTGACACAAAAAAACCGTATTGGTTCACTACTGCTCTGAAGGGATAGTAGTAAGTCAGAGGGGCCAGACAGGATATGTAAAGGAGTGAAGTAGGTCACAGAACTTTCACTTTCCACAAAGAAACATGCTTACTACTACTTTCTGTCTTCCTACTTTTATTAGAGGCACTACCGCCAACAAAAATAATAGTGAAGAAATAATGGCAAATAGTCACAATAGGTATGTGGAGATTACAGTAAATTAGAGTGTCCATTAAATACTTAGTTCCACTATTCATGTGAAACATTCCTCAACTACATCAAGTCTCCAAGTCTTTTCTCCCTTTTCAAACTTCAACTGTTGTTATAAACAATAATTTCAATCTGGCATTTACCAATAATTTTATTCATCAAATTATTTCACTTTACTTCATATTAGCTCATATCCCCAATTAAATTCTAAGCCCCTGGATGATAGGGTCACACTATTTCTTCCTTCCTAATCCACATGTTCCCAGCACTGGGATGGGACATAAAAATGTTTAATGTCAGCTATCACACTCTTCTAAGGAATAGAGTTATGATGATACTACTCACTCACCAGCCTGATGTTGTCTTCTGGGCGCAGTAATATGAACATTGCTTGAAGATGCTGTTGGAGATCTCCTGGTGAAATTTAAAAAACAAGGATTAATTATTCTCCATTCTAATATCAACAGAAAGGATTCCCTCTACCCTAATGACTTCCATAAAAAGAAAATTCTAGTTCACTAAAGGACTCTAATTAGTCACAGCAATTAAGTGTCTTAATGTGAGTATTGACTTATTTGTAAATGGAAAGGGAAATGGTAGAACACTTCTTTATACATTCCCTTTTAGTCTATACTGCATTAAAATTTATTTTGTATCTGTCTACAGAAGGAGCACTTGAAGCTGACCTCAGTTTTGTCCTATGGTGAAAGCTGTTAAGAGAGATGGTAAGCTCTCTTGAGAAGCGGCAGCACTACTTGGGCTCAGGCCCACTGAAGGTAGCAACAAGTACATCTTGAGAACGGGAGGTATATAGTGTTAGAAAAATTATCCCTAACTCTCAAAAAACTAACCATTCTGCAATGCCTACCTTTGAAAAAACCTGTAATCATAATCTTCAGTTGCACTAGATCTAAGATTTATAGATTCCCCTTAGAATACTGTCAACAGTTTAAAACAATTTCTTCATTAGTAGCAGGTATTAAAACGAGAGTACTTATTAATTATAGCAGATCACAAGTGACATATATTCTCTACTGAACACTATTACCGGGTGCTTTAAAATGGTCAACTTTTTTTTTTTTTTTTAAATTTTATTGTGCCTTGGTTACAAATTTACAGAGCAAATTTGTTTTACATTCAACAGTTTGTGTACATTTGATCTCACACTCCAATTACCATCCCCGACCATAACAAACTCTCCTCCCCTCCCGTCCCTGGGACTACCTCCTACCTGTGCCCTTCTTAACTATGCACTGCTGTCTGCCCAGCTTTCCCTCTATGTGAATGCTGCCCCTTGGTGTCTCACGGCTGATTGCTCTAAGGGGTGTATCTCCCTAGGGCAGGCAACTGCATCATCCTGGGGTAGGTGTTCCGCATGTAGGTATTTCTGCTGCTGGGCTGAGAGCTAATCCATGGGAGTGAGTCCATTTCTAGGCCTGGAGGGTAACCCAGGCCATAGTCTTGGGGGTTCCTCCAGACTCTACCCAACTAGTAACTCTGGTGATTTTTACATTTTTGAATTTTGTTCTGCATTTTTTCTCCCAGTTTTGATCCCTTTCTGAGAAGTTGGCATTGGTAGCTGGGCACCATCTAGTTCTTCTGGTCTTGGGATCATGAAGGCTGAGGTCCTCATGGTCCATCTTATCCTTGGACTGTTGTCAAATGCCTCTGATTTTTCTTCCCTCTTCTTTGATTCAGATGAGAGGAGACCAACAGTTGCATCTTAGACAGCCACCTGAAGGCTTTTAAGACCCCAGTAACTATTCAGCAAAGCAGGTTGTGAAACAAGATTTTTGGAAGGTTGGGCAATCTACTTGCGTAGTGATACCGCCTCAGAAACACAAGGAAGGGTCGCTATGAATCGGGTCCGACTCAACAGCACATGACCACAACAACAACATGTTGTACCAACTGAGCACGATGTGCTCCGAGACTATGGTCCCAAGTCATCAGATTCTCTCTCTCAAGGTGTTTGGTTGTCTCTGAGAGATTACTCCAACTCTGTCTTCTGTTCCTTCTGCAATGTGTGTGGCTAATTTTGTAGTACAAGTGCATATGTAAGATTATCTTCAGCCCAATCTATCCTTGGTCTAGGGTATATTCCTGTTTGCCGACCTCCACTGGTCAACCATTGTTTGAATACACATTCTATAAAACAGAAATTTCTTTATATTACACTGTTAAAGATTTCCTCATATTCTTATTCTGCATGAGGAAATCTGAGGCTTTGGCTAGTGAGAGATAATTAGATAATGAGGTGTCATAAATAATGACAGAGAACAAAAATGTCATCCTGCCCACCCATCTCCAGTCCTCTTTTTTAAGATTCTAAAGAAGTGAATGGCATAGGCACAAAATCATGAGTGCCAGTGTAACCTGTTGTTCTCACATTGGTCTTGGAAAGGCAAAGGATTTTCAGAAGGAAAACTTGTAGAGAAGAACAATTTCTAGGTAAATGGTAGAAGCTCAAAGTTCCTACGGTAAGCACTATGGGCCCAAAGACCCAACTGGATCATGTGAAGGTCAGACAACAGTGAGGAAGCCACACCCCTAGTAAGGCTTCTTTAGGTGAGCTAAGTGTGTAGAAGCTCAGGTTTGTAACAGCACACATGACTGCTAAGAGCAAACTGGTGTTTCCTACAGAGAAACTGTTCTTCACAGATACTAATAGAACCAATATATTGGTACCATTATGATCTCTCTCCTACATTTCCCCATATATTTGTTGCCACTGCTAGTAGCTAAGTTCCAGATTTTGTTTGATTTTAAAGTTTTTTAAATTGTTTATCTTTAAAATGTTATCAGACATTCACTCATATCATTTTTTTGATCATCCAGTTACAAAGTTCTAACCAGTTTAAAAAACATGCTCAGAAAATACAACTAGACACAGCAAACCCTTGATGTATTCTTGGTTCTGCCATCATCCTTCAGTGACTGAGCTCAGCCAAGGCAGCATCAGTGTACGCGAAGGCCTGGCCCTTGTGCACTGCATTTATACTCACACTGCCTCTTCTGTGCTGGCCTCGATCACAAATCAAGCCTATTTAGCTTGTGTTAACTCTGCTTCTCTTTTTAGTATAGGGAAAGCTGAGTGAATAAGGTCAAACAGAAACTTTGGTGGCAGTTGAGTGTGGAAGTATGACCAAAGGAAAAAGCCAAACAGGGCCAGGAACTATGAAAGCCACTGATTCCACTTACTGTTAGGTGTCACAGAGCAATGTGTCCAACATCTTAGTCAGACAAGCTGGTTTTCATCAATATTTTGTCATCTTTTTATTGTGAGTGATAAATATCCACACCGAACAGAAATACAAAGCTTAACTTGGGCTCCCTCCTCTATGCATTCAAGTTTTTTTGGGAAGTGCTTTTTTTTTGTGGTGGTAGGCATTGAGAAGGAAGGTTTTAGAAAGTTTAACTGAAGGCTACTTTTCAAAAGCTTTTTTTCCTCCCTTTACAATTTAAAAATTTTTCCATGGCTGTATAGTTTTGGTAGGAAGATAATATTGTCCAACAGATTATAATTCTGAGCTGCTACATTCACCACTAGATGAGGGCAGACAACAAGGACAACAGCCACTAAAATGGACTATCTTAACTGAAACATGACTCAATTACTGTCCCAGTAGAGTCCAGTATTTCTGGCTTTCACCTCTGACCTACACACTCCAGGTTTGCAGTCTTCTTTGTTTCCTTCCAATACTTGCAATTTCTTCTACTCCTACACATCACCAAAGTGGCACATTTAGGACAAGAAGCACACACTTCTTTGTATAGTATTGATTAAGATTTCCCCAAAATGACATAAGCTGTTATTTACTGTTATTTAACTATTAGCAGTTATTTTAAAACCAGAGCCTTGTACATTTCTTAAACCCATATAAACCAAAAAAAAAAGCAAACTCACTACAGTCAAGTTGGATCCGACTCATAGCGACCCCTCCTTGGGTTTCAACTGCCAGCCATAGGTGAACATTTATCAAATAACCCTAACTCCTTCTGTCTATAAACTTCTTCTGGGTTAAATGCTGTCTTTTTAGTGTGTACACTTTCAAGATTATAGAAGGCACAGTCTGGCATTTAAGAACTGGCATTTCAACATGTGACATAATGCTATTATCATGGCAATGACAATGAGTTTACGTTTATTTATCTTAACAACATACCACATCATTCTTTTCATACCATCACTAGAGAACAGACAGAAACAAGAAATTTAATCTTTGATTAGTTGAAATAAATTTGCATAAACTCTAAGGGAATATCTGAAAATCTTTTAGCTATCAAATCTTAGTCCAATATGACTTCATTAGTGTATTTTTGTATCTTCTCATTATTATTCCAACAAAAATTTATTACATGTGTAAAGTCCTTGGGTAGCAAATGGTTTGCACTTCACTACTAACCCAAAGACTGGCAGTTCGACCCACCCAGTGGCATCACAGAAGAAAGGCCTGTTGATCTGCTTCTGCAAAGATTATAGCCAAGGAAACCCTATGGCTGCCATGAATTGGAATCAACTCAACAACAGTGGGTTTTTATTACATGTGTAAGGCACTCCTGCTAAGTGCTAGAAATATGTCTATGGCAGTGGGAAAAAAGCACAGAATATATAGACTATATATATAGCACAGAACAATAATGCTTTCTTTCGCTGCTATCAAACTGTTGGAGAAAGGTTGGGAAGGCAGTCACCCTTTTGGAACAAAACAAAAGGCAAGGTAACCTAGAACGATGTATGTGTTGCTTTACCTGCATGCTTGTTGCGTCTGTGGCTGATTCTTGGTGTGGATGATCCATTTCCCCGTGGCAGAAAAAGGGCAGCACCTTTGACAGTGAGAAAGCTCTCACTGATGCTACAAGGCAAAAGTCAAAAGAAGATAAAATTACTTACAGAAGGAAATCAAAGAGCAAGATGGAGACCCATTTTAGGATTATTCTTTCTTCCCTATTCCAAAATCACAACTTCATGGGATACAGTAAAAATAAAACCGGGGAGGCTCTAGTCACTCATGTTGTCCTATCTACGATACAGAATTTTTCTGAAACAAAACTTACAATATTCCGTATACATTATATGGTAGCAGTTAAGAGTGAAAGCACTGGAAACAAACAAGAAAGGGTGAAGGCTCTGGAACCCCAGACTGTTGGGATTTGAATCCTGGTTCTGCTATGTCCTACCTAAGTGAACCTTTTTGGGACTCCATATCCTTATGTGTGAAACAGATGATCAAATGAAGGTGTTATGAGAAGTCAATGAGCAAACAAAATTAAATTAGCTCTATAATGTTGCCAGTCATTGCTAAAGGGCCAAGGGGGCGGCATCTTTAGATCTCCTCTAACTACCCAAAAGAAGACAGAATCACTCTCAGTAGCCCAAGGCCTATTCCTATGAGGCAAGAAATGCCGCCACCCTCCAGCCCTCTTATCAACCTTGACACAACTGTCCTTCCTGCAGTACCCACCACCTCTTTGCTGGGTTTGATAATTCACTGTAGTGGCCGGCCATAAAGAACTCACAGATTATGGGGTTTATTAGGGAAGTGACAGGCTACAATTCAAGCTCAGGAACGTGCTCAGGATACAGTTTTTCATTCAGGACAGTATCCCTCTGCTGTGCCCTTAGACACGGCTCCCTGGACCTTGGCCTCTCAGCTTGGCCTCTGCAGGCCAGGTAAGCCTGCCTCTCTGTCCTGTGCCTCTTGGTTCTACTGCTGCTGTTTCTCAGCCAGGTATCTGTCTCAGCCAGTGGTGAGATCCCTTTCTGCTTCTAAACTCAAAAAAGCAAACTCACTGCCATGGAGTCAATTCTGATTCACAATGACCCCCTTTGGGCTTCCAAGGAGGTAAATCTTGATGCAAGTAGATTGCCCAGTCTTCCTTCTCTGGAGTGGCTGGGTTTGAACCACCAACCGTTTGTTTAGCAGTCAAATGCCTTAGGCACTATACTACCAGAGGCTCATTTTAAGCCTAGCAGAGTGGCAAAACTAATCCCAACATCAGAGTTCTACACACTTAAGATAGAGTGAACCTTCAGTGCTGTGCCAACAGAAATATCCCAGGTGGATGACTTTAACAATCAGGAGTTTAAAAGTAGCTACTCAGTTGTTCATGCCAAATTCCACCACTGATTTAATTGCCAGTCTTACAATTACTACCAGCTGCCCAGCCAAACTGACAGATATCTGCATGGTTCCACCCAGTAATCCAGTGGGAGTTACAGACTATGGCTAGAAAAGCCATATCATGCACTCCATTTTATTTTTTAATCAAGTGGCATGAAACTGATGAACCTTTGCAGCAATTTGCCAAACAGACTAGAACATGTCTTCTAAAAACAAAACATCATGAGAATCCACAGACACCACTTAAAAAAAATTTGCATGCTGGTGGGGAGGGGCTGTCTTGATTTTGTTTTCATCTTTAAATAAAGCATTGTACTCTTGTGGTCTGTTGCACAAACTTTGTCTCTTGTTACATCTGTGGTATGCACGTGACCCTCCTGTGGGTCACCCTGTTTCACTCACATTACGGGAACAACCTAAAACAAAATGTCTGAGTGACAGGATGAGTGGGGCACACCACAGACAGGAAATGAAATTCACACTTCTGCCAACACAGCAACTGTCTGCTTTACTAAATAAAAATACTTTTAAAATAAAGGCTAAATGTTCTACCTATTTATCAGGCAAAACTTTGGGCACTTTTGGTTTCCAGTTAACAAAGTGGTTCTCTACATCTACAAAAGAAGTATATGTATTGAGAGCTTAAAACAACTGAGCATATTCCAGTCATTCCTTTTGTAAGATGGAGGCAGTTTCTCTGTGATAAACGACAGTTTAAGAACTAACTTCCTGGTTTTTAGAGTTCAGTAATATGTAGTCAGATACATCTGTTGTTTATTCTTTAAAGTATATCTAAGTGTGTTCTTGAAAATATAGTGTTTTGACAAGTAGGTGTTACAGGTAGGGAACGATGGCCCTTGGTTAGCTCAAAGTTGCCTGGAATTAGTAATTTTAAAATTTATATAAATTTATAATAAAATTATGTTTGTAATTTCATATTATAAAATCAAAAGATCTCAACTATATTATGAAATTATAAATTAATGTATTATAGAATTATAAAATACATAATTTATAAAATTGTAATTTTCTAATTCCCGATTATAAAAGACAGACCAGGAGTCAAACTTACATCCTATATGGTGTTAAGGATAAAGAGGCCTTTCTATTTGGATCATTTACACAAATCTGAAAGAACTTTTCTGACAGAACAAAATGCACAGTAGATCCAGCTGGGTCAGGAGCCTGACCTAGTAGGTGGGACATAGGCTCCTAGACACCCTCAGAATGCACAATCAATCCTCTCTATTCTGTGGCCCCAGATTACAACCTTCAGTTATCTCAGAAGTCGCATAGTGTTGGTCACAAGGGGACCAGGAATGAGAATGTGGCTGATTATTAAAATCCAGCATAGTGGCTAACGCACTTGACTGCTCACCAGATGGCTGGCGGTTCAAACCCATCAGCCACTCCTCGGAAGGAAGGTTGGGCAATCCTACTTCCGTAGTGATACTGCCTCGGAAACCCAAGGAGGGGTCGCT